TTTGGTGTGTGCAGCCGCCGGCTTCTTTTTTTTTTTTTTTTTTTTTAAGACTCTGTTCCTGCAGACAGATAATTATATGAGAAACCTGAGCATCAAAATAGTTTTACGGTTTCATAGTTTTAAAACAACTTGAGTGAAGAATCTGAATGCACTGCCAATCTCAACAAACAGGAGACTGAACCCGAGGTGCTGTTCCCTGAAAAGGACAGAGAATTTATTTCAAGCCAGCGCTATTGAGTTATAGCATTATTACTGAGCTTGGTGTTATAGTAGTAATCAATGTTAAAGAGGCAAAGAAAACTGATGGTTAAAATGCTATCTACAGCGGAGAGCCCTTATCCATGTTACCGTGACCACCACATACACGTGACCACAGTGGTGTTTTTTGGCAGCCCGATGACAAAGAGGAAAGGAAAGAGGGGAGTCCTGCCAAGTTTTCCACAGTCAGTCCTCAGATGACCTCAGTCACCGGCAGGGCGCACGCAGCATTCCTAGCGGTCCTGCAAGGATGCAGCACAAGGAATCAACAGTTACTGAAAGAAGTAAAAGTCACGTGCTCGGAGACCCAGAATGCAGGTTTTTGTCTTCCTGTACCATGAGCTTTTGGTGACATGGTGGCAGGAGAGAATTTTAAAGAAGTACAGAGGTAACATAATAGGCATCTAAGGTGTAGCACAAAACTGACTGCTTAGGTATTTGCTGAGAAGCTTCCCTAAAGGTATCCTCATCTATCTTTACCTGAGGAAGTATAATTAGAAATAAAAAACACCCCACACTAAAGCTGAATAGTTAAGCCGCTCATTCAAATAGATCAGAAGAACACACACACCCTTTCCTTTCTCCTCCTCATGCATAAAACAAGTCTTGCAACTTTAAAAGAAGCCTGCAACACAGCAACAGATCCGTTCATGGCAGGGAGCTGCTCTTTGGACACAGTGAGGCGCCCAAGGAAATAACGTGCCACAAGCCGGGACCACCCACTCTCCAAGCAGAACACACCAACAAGCTCTTGGCAGGACCAGGCATACCCAGGAAGGAGGCCACCCAGCAGCAAATGTAGGCTTATCCAAGAACAGTCAGGAATTCACCAGCTTCATCCTCCACCGAAAGCCAGGGTGAAAGCTGGTCACACCAGGCCTCTCCGAAGCAAACACCGAGTGAGCCAGGTTGGATCCCCTGCGTTACGGGATGCAACACAGGAGAAGGGGACCAAGGGCTGCAGCGAGGTGGGTGCCCCTCCAGCACCAGCCGCTTGCTGCCACAAGCCACAAACGCGGAGCAGAAACACCACGAGATGCAGCAGGATACCAAGCGCGTGCAGCTTGCTCACAACATTGGCAAATTATCCAGAAGCAGAAGAGCAACAACTAGGTTTTATCTGTGATAAAAGTGATTTGGGTCCTTATTCCATTTTATGCCAAACATAGGCCACTGAATTGTTTATTCTACCTCTCTCTCCTGACACTTGTGAAGCAAATAATTACTATAAAAACATCACCCCTCATAGGACACAGTCCCATGTTCAGGTAATTTGGCTGTCAGATTTAACAATGGTTTGAAATTCAGTGATCAAGCACACACATGTAAAATTATTATCTTTGTGGCATGCAAAAAAACCCAAATATTCTGAATTTGTTGACCAAACTATCTCCCTACAAGTCTCTCTGACCAGGGGAATGCAGAGAAGAGTCTTGCCAAGAGTCATGCTAATCCCTGTGTCAAACTTGCTTCCACCCGGCCTGGATATCCAAAAGCTGCTCAAGGGAACTGTGTACACATTTGGTGGAAAGAGTTTTAAAAGTCTCTGCCACAGTGTCTGGAAAGGCTGGGAGGAGAGCAGAAGGAAAAGTTATTTCTCAATATACTTTGTATAAAATTAAATTTTGCCCTTTCCCTTTTATAGGAAATTTATTTCCATTGTTTGGACTCTGTCTGGGTGGTTGTTGGGTGCTCCCTTCCCTAAGGGAACCACAGGAGAAGAAATACATTGAAAAATTAGAAAAACATCAATTGTTTTGCAAGCGATTTTTCGTTAAAAAAACAAACCAAAAACCCACACACCCTGGGCAGACAGCCTGAAATCAGGTGTAATATCTAGAGCTACACTCCTCTCCCTTTCTCCCTCTCTTAATTGCCTGCCCTTGGTTGTGTCCCTTTAAGGAAACAGGAAC